ATTTTTTTTTTTTTTTTTTTTTTTCTAAAAAAAAAAAATATATATATAATATATATTTTCATTCTTGAATAATTAACTAATTTTATATAAATAATATATATTTAGGACCTTCATTTGGTTACACTCCTTCACATCCAACTACAATGGATCCTAATGGCACTTCTTATCATCATGTTGCTTCTCAATCAAATCCAGATGCTCATCATCTTGCTGCCATTAACGCGCATAATAAGCAAGCTATGAATATCTCTTCAAATAATCCTCATCCTAGTAATATTAAATCCTTACTTTCCCCACCAGAATCTCCCGATATGGCTACCTCACATCAACAATCTTTATTCGATTCTTACGGAGCTCAAGTTCAAAGACATGACGTATCTCAACATCAACAATGTAGTTGTTACGCTAATAAACCTTCCTCAGTTTATTCAACATCCGCTCCAGTAATGAATACTTACCATCAACAACATTCCGTATCTAATTATAATCCTTATATACAGCCAGTTCAAAGATATTCTTCATTCACTTCAGCCATTCAACAAATTCCAATCCCTTCTTATGACCGTAAATCTACCATATCCCCACATTCTCTTACACGATTAAATACTCCAACCATGGGATTACCGTTACCAGCCAAATTCGGTCAAAAAGGTCTTGTAGGACAAATATTACCAAGCGGATCAGGAAATAGATATCAATGTCCATATTGTTCAAAGAGATTTTCACGTCCAAGTTCACTTCGAATTCATATTTATTCACACACAGGTGAGAAACCTTTTGTATGTACAGAACCTGGATGTGGAAGAAAATTCTCCGTACAAAGTAATATGCGACGACATCTTAGAGTTCATCGTTTAGGAAGACCTGTCAAGAAAACTAGATACGATGGTGAAGTAGAAGGCGTAAAAATATTGAACCCAACAGCAATACTTCAAAGTTATTAAACCAGTTTGGTACTCTAAAAAGATTTATTATTTTTTTTTATTATCGTAAATTTCTTTTTTTAATATATATGTACAATACATTTAGTTTAATTAAACGGACATTTTATTTTTCTTTTTTCTTTTTCTTTTTTTTCGTCATTTTCATTTTTTTTTCTTTTCTTTTCAGATATGGGTGGGAACAAACGCGTATGTTTCGATAAATTTAAATTTTTTCGAATCAAAATTTCCTTTTTTATTTTTATTATAAAAATTTGGATCTTCCCTTATTTTTTCTTTTTTTTCTTAAGAAATAAGAAAGAAGAAAGAAAAAGTTAAGATTTAAACCTGTAACAGTATCAGAACAAAAAAAGATACCCTTTTCTAAAAAAAGGTCTCGCTTGACCTTTTTTTTTTTT